GCTATGGAATTGGCTATGTCCAAACCCTGGGTAATATTTTATCCCCCCGCAGCTACAGCCAATATGCTGCTATTGTTCCGTGCCATCCACTTCGCATCAGTCATGGTGACCTGTGCGTTCAGGACAGACCTGCACCAAAGGGTTTCAAGTTTGTGACCTTTCAGAAACATATCCCTAGGCCTGTCTTCTTAAGTGCCTCTGATGGGTTAAAACTGCCAACCTTTCAGATAGTAGTCCAGCACTTAACGAGTGGTTCTCAGTCCCTCCTAAAACCAATATGCTCATTATAAATCAGATTTTCCATGGACACATTAGCAAATGTGGCTCATTTCTGTTCATAACAGAAATGCCAAATTCATTATTTCTTGAACTTAACATGAAGGATGAAGATGCTCAAATTCAACTGTTTCCTAGCTTTGCTACAGATGATATTATATAACAATTTAATTCACTGCATTGAGTTGATTCTGACTCATAGCTACCCAATAGGACAGGGTATAAAGGTCCATTTAAGACTTCAAATCTTTTAAAAAAAATCATTTTATTGAGGGCTCTTACAAATCTTATTATAAACCGTACATCAATTGTATCTGACATATTCATACATATATTCCATCTTTTTCTTTTTTTAGACATGTACTTTCCATTGAGCCCTTGGGATCAGAGACTAAATATTAATGGGAATAGAAAGCCCCAACTTTTCTCCATGGAGTGGCTGGTGAGTTCAAACCTCTGACCTTGTGGTTAGCAGTTCAGTGTACAGACACTATGCCACCATATGTATATATAATAATATAGTAATATATACATCCAGCCAATTATTTGACCATTATTTAGTCAAATTAAAGAAAAATTATTTGAACATTATTTGGTCAAATTAGCCTTGACCATTATTTGACCATTAGCCTTGACATGAACCCAATGAATCCATAGTCTATGTAAAAGAAATGAGGATACTGTGAGTGGGTTAGAGAGTTTTTAACAGAGGAAAACAATAGTGTTGAACTGCTTACTGATTTTTTTAAAATTATTTTATTGGGGGCTCGTACAACTCTTATCACAATCCATACATGCATCAATTGTGTAAAGCACATTCATTGCCCTCATCATTCTCAAAACATTTGCTCTCCACTTAAGTAAGCCCTTGGCATCAGCTCCTCATCCCGGCCCCTCCCTGGCTCCCCCCTCCGTCGTGAACCCTTGATAATTTATAAATTACTATTATTTTGTCATATCTTACACTGTCTGATGTCTCCCTTCACCCACTTTTCTGTTGTCCATCCCCCAGGGAGAAGGTTATATGTAGATCCTTGTAATCAGCTCCCACTTTCTACCCCACCTTCCCAGTATCGCCACTCTCACCAATGGTCCTGAAGAGATCATCTGTCCTGGATTCTGTTTCCAGTTCCTATCTGTACCAGTGTACATCCTCTGGTCTAGCCAGATTTGTAAGGTAGAATGGGGATCATGATAGTGGGTGGTGAGGAAGCATTTAGGAACTAGAGGAAAGTTGTATGTTTCATCATTACTACACTGCACCCTGACTGGCTCGTCTCCTCCCCAAGACCCTTCTTTAAGGGGATGTCCAGTTGCCTACAGATGGGCTTTGGGTCCCCACTCTGCACTCCCCGTCATTCACAATGATGTGATTTTCTGTTCTTTGATGCCTAATACCTGATCCGTTGGACACCACATGATCACACCGGCTGATGTGCTTCTTTCATGTGGGCTTTGTTGCTTCTCAGCTAGATGGCCGCTTGTTTACCTTCAAGCCTTTAAGAACCCACCTTACTGGTTTCTTGATATAGTTTCAAAGGACAAAGGCAACCAGAGATAAAGAAGACATGCAAGATATTTAGTACTTACTGTAATTGAAACCTTCCACTAAATTATTTCAATGACTTCATGGACTTTCTGATTTCTGACCTTAACCAGATTCTAGTTGTGGAGATAGGTGGAAATGTAAGACCTATTTACTCTTCCTATGGAGTCCTGGTGGCCTAATGATTATGTGTTGTGCTGCTAATCACAAGGTCAGCAATTCAAAACCACCAGCTTGTCCAAAGGAGAATGACAGTCTTGTGAACACATAGGCGCAGTTTCACCTGGTCTTCCAGGGTTGCTATGAGTCAGAATGCAGTCAATGGCAGTGAGAGGGAAGGGAGCTTGGGGGTGTGGTGGTTTCTGCCTCAGGTTGCTAACTTCAAGGTCTGGGATTCAAACCCACAAGTTCCCTGGAAGAAAGACAAGCCTTTGTACTTCTATAACGATTTACAGCCTCGGGAAAGCAAGGGAAGCTTTACCCTGGCCTATAGGGCAGCCATGATTTGGAATTAATTATGCCCACACATGAGCTGGAAACAATTTGATGGCCATGAGAAAGATCTTCACACAAAGGCCAGGAATAGAATACCATATCCTAATAAACAATTTTCAATCCGACATTGATTTTGTGAGGCAACTCATCTGTGTCTGTCTTTTTGATTCTTCACACAGATATCTGAAATACAAGGGACCCAAACCCAAAACCCAGCTCCCACCCATGGGGTCATTCTGACTCATAATGACCCAGAGGACAAGGTGGAACTGCCCCTGGGAGTGTCCAGGATCATGATTCTTTATGGGAGTAGAAAGTGCCATCTTCCTCCTACAGAATGCGGTGGCTTTGAATTGCTGATCTTATAGTTAGCAGCCCAACTTGTAATCATGGGTTTATTGGCTTTGTGGGTAATTAACAGACAACACATTGTGTGCTGTTACATCAGTAACATATCTGTTTTTCCTCAAATATTACTGGTCTCTTGATGGTTCAAAAATTCACTGAATTTCTTCACCTCCCATTTCACATCTCCACTCCTCCCACAAGGTCAGCAGTTCAAACCCAGCAGACAGCCTGAAAGAAAAAGATAAAGTTGCATCTTGCATAAAGTTTTATAATTGGCAAGCCCAAGGAACAGTTCTACTCTGTCCTACAGGGTCATTACAAGTCAGAATTTATTTAAAGGCCTTGGGTTGCTTGTTTATCACAAAAGGATCCTTGTGGATATACTGAGTCCATCAATAAAATCAAGAATGATTTCAGTATCAGCTAATTAACAACCTTAAGTCTTCTATTTGCATCAGGATTGTCCCTTGTGATATAATCAGGGTTTCTAAATGGGTTAATCTTCTCTAATCTCTTGCTAAAAATTAGCATTTCTACCCCAGATCCTGAGTCAGCAAAGACTTAGGCGAAGAACTGGGTGATTTTTATGGACTGCGCTCAAGTGACCTTGGTAAAAAGCTGCTTCTGTTTCAGTATTCCTGGATCTCACTCACTGCTATCAAGTTAATGACATGATATCAAGAATACCAGCTAATTAACAAGTTTTATTCTTCTATTTCCGACAGGAATTGTGATATGATCAGGGCTTCTAAATGATGTTATCCTCTTCAATGCCCTGTTCTTAGGTGATCTCGGTAAAAAGTACATTGTGATTCAGTATTCCTGGGTCTCACTCACTGTCATGGAGTCCACGCTGACTGAGAGTGCACCTTTGGGGCCAGGAACAACTGTTCCTGTGGTTTCCAAGACTGTGACTCCAGGGGGTAGAAACCCTCCACTTTTTCCTGTAAAGTGACCAATGGATTTGAACTGCCCTTGCTATTAGCGGCCCAATGCACACCCAGTATGCCATCAAGGCTCAGAGGTTAGAAAGGCAAATTGTCAGCAGGGTGGAAACAAAATAAACAGTCTCCAAGTCTTAAGTAAAACATAACATATTCAGACCTCCTTAAGATTAAGACATGCAAATGCTTCTGGGACCATTATTCTACCTAGCACAGGGGCACAGTAAAATCTGTTCATGACAGAGAGGTAAGAGAGAGCTTACAGCCAGGAATTTCACATGGCAAACAGCAGATCACTTTATAAATACTGTATAGCACACAACTCAAACTAGTTACAATGTAGCAATCCCAAGGTAAACAGATAAATCTGAGCAATTCCATATCATCCCTGAAAAGAGGCTGGGCTCGTTTTCAGAGAATCTCATTTTTAATATTCTTCGATAGTAGTTACAGTCTATTAGGATGGGCATCAGATTCCGAATCAACACCGTGAAAGGGCCTGGCCTGTTGTATACCCAAAGTGATATCAATAAACAAATTACACTAAATCATGAGTATGGGATCTCTTTGTAAGTGCTAAAGCCCTGTGTGAATCAAATTTGGCTAAAATAAATTCTAATATGATCATTTTTATTAAAATAATTATTTGTAAAGGTCCCATTGACGGAGAGGACATAATAAAATTGCCAGCTGTGATAAAACCAACATTCATATTAATTAGTCAATAAGCAACACCACCAGTAACAATAACAAAAGAGTTGCTGTCAAGTCAATTCTAACTCATGGCAACTCCCTCTGTGTGCTTCAGAGCGGAGCGTCCTTGCAGGGTTTTCAGCAGCTGAGATCTGGCTGTGGTGGGGGAGCCAGGTCTTTCGTCCAAAGTCACTGAGTGGATTAAACCATCTATCTTGGGGTTAGTGGCCAAGAGTGTAAGCATGTAATAATAACAATAAAATTCTATTATTGCATTTGAAACTTGGCATCTTTACCTTTGTAACAAACTTTTGAAAAAGCAAAGGCTTTTATTCAGCTCCATTTTATAGGCATAGAAACTAAGGCTTAGTCTCTTCACCAACACCACACGGAATATGGATTGAGGGAAGGACTAGAAGTTAAATGCCAACTTTAAGATCAGCTACATATTTCTTCAGAGATTTAACTACAGCAAAGCCAGTATTATCATTCACATTCCGATCTGCCAAATCACAAACAGCAGGAAACAGGATAATTTTCTAGACAAGGAGTAAACAATATTACACAGCCAAGGTACTCACAAAGCAGCTTTACTGGCAGCGTTTAGAGTCCTTTGGTTTCCAAGATTCTCCATAAAACGCCACATTCAGATCAACTCCTAGAAGAATCCAAGAATAGAGAAACCATCTAAATGCTGAGAAGCTTACTTTAAAAAATGAGAAGTAGCCTACTTGATATCGACAGGGCTTCCGTCAGAGTATGTGGTTTTCAACTGCACCGGCTGGAACAGCTCTGCTGACGTGCTTTACATTTCCAAGATATGATGTAAAGGCGCCCCTCTTGATGCTAACTAATCCATAGCACATATGACCATATGTCCTGAGTTTATTTGTAAGCATTATTTGATTCTAATTCTAATTCCCCAGTGCGCATTGTAGTTATGCCATAAAAAAAAATCTGTGAGATTAATTTCAAACCAGTCTCCGGAATTTAAAAATATCAATGCTTTGAACTTTTGGGTGATTTCCCCCTCTCTACTTGATGTGTGTGTGTGTGTGTGTGTTTAGAAAGTAATCACCTGAAATATTTACATAGTTGTCCTAAAACTTTATTTATATTAAAATAATTTTAAAATTAAAGAATCACGTCTTACTGAAAGTTTTTTCTTTTTTTTAATTGAAAGAAGTTGTCTTACTAAAAAGAAAGGCATTGGAAGTACAGAAATACTTGAAAAACACTCCAAGAAAATAATCAAAATGTAACTATTTATTATTGAACGCCTTTTGATTACATAAACTTTGAAATAAGATATTAAATATGTGCTCAACTCTGTTACAAAAAAAGAAATAAAGGAGCTACAGATGAAGTGGTATTTGCTTTAAGCATGTGAATATTGACTCATGTAATACTTTAAAAATACTTAGCACAGAGTTTGGCAGGAATGTAATAATAATCGCAATTTTTATAATTGTTAGTTACTACTTAAGAAAGTGTAAAACACCTCATAAAAACATCTAATAAATATTAGTTTCCTACTGGTTCCTTGCTTGAAAAATATGAATTTATTCAAATACACAAGACCAGATATTATTTTATTGAACATGGCTTATTGTCTCAAATAAACATGATCATGAAAAATTAGATTGTTTGACAAAGATTGTTCAAAAATATTTCACATGGGCCAAGATGGATATTTTACAGGAAAATTCAATAATTTAGGTAGCACTAATGATGTTACTGGATTTTATCAGAAACATACGATGAAAGGAATTCTAGATCAACAATCAGTATGCTTATTTTGTAAGATCCAAAACTATAAGCAGATTATGGACACATTACTTTCTGCAATTTAGTAAATATCATACAAATGATCAGTTCTACATATGAAGAAACTCCTTGTTGTGAAAACTGGATTCATTCTAATTTAGACTCAGAATAGGAAAAATTATTATATCACATAGAATAAGATAAATTTATTTATATAGTAAACATTAAGGACACATCATTTTACTGCAATTAACTATTTGTTGACTATCACTGAAATATATGATTTTTAACCTATTTCATTTTTCTATTTGGTGATATATGTATGGGCTTCAAAAAGATCATAGAAAAGTTACACATATTTTAATGCTATTTTCTCACAAACTTTTGAAGCCCCTTCATATTAGTATTATTACTAAACTCCACTTTGGTCTGCATCATTACCTTGCTTACCCATGCCTACAAATCCAAGTCACCCCATATTTTGTTGCTCATGTAAAATAAAATTACATTGTTTTCCTCTGGAAATTCTCTGAATTTCTTCAAGAACATTAGACCATCAGAAATCATTGTAATTCATAGCTTTTGTGGTTTCTTTGTCTGTCAAAATAGGGCTCCAAAAGTTTTCTCATTTGTTTTAGAGAAGATTTACAATTTTTTTTTTAGGTTCCAGAAAATGGTCTTAAAAGGTTTATGTTTATGGGTCACTAAACAAAAATCAAGATGTTATTTTACAGTTAAAATTGTCATATCTACCAAATACAGATATATTTTAAGTAAAGAAAAAGGGAGACAGAGAAAGCAAAAGAGAGGTGGTTAAAATTAAATCAAATTACTTTTTTTCAGTCATTTTCACTTAGTACAACACTGAGTAATTATGACCTTCTGAAACATACAAATCTAAATCATAGATGGGTTTTTACAAAATGTTTTGATTAAGAAAACCAATTGTTTTGTAGTCTCCTTAGTGTAAAACCAATTATCAAAAGGACATTCTGTCTACAATCTACACTGTATTACTTTAAAATTCTATAAACTAAGAGAATTTTCTCAGTTCATTATACTGAAAATCAATAAACATAAGAAGAGAAAGCAAAAAATTTATGAATCTCTAAGCCACCGAAAGACTAAATTATTCTCTAATATCTTATCTAATCATCAGGTAAATTTTATACTTTTAATTCTGTAATTTTACAGGCTATTATTTAGATAATTTAAATGGCTGTACTGCTAGAAAGGACCAGCAGCTAATTCAATATAGTTCTTTTCATGCTCAATGGTGCCTGGAAGTTCCATGTCTGGTCTGTGATTATGACATAATTAATTGATTGAGGAATGTTAGTTACAATCAAAACGCATCACCCAGGGCAGCGGTTTGCTTAAGGTACAGCAGGTATGGCACATACAATGGGCTCACCCTGCAGGGGAATTTCTATTAACCCAGCAGTTTCTATTAACTCAGTTATATCCAATGTGCGTCCTCTTCAAGTAAGATAGACATCCAGAGATATATCAAAGGGGAATGAAATGCAAACTCACTGCCATCGAGTAGATTCTGACTCATAAGCAACCCTAAAGGATAGAGTAGAACTGCCCCTGAGGGTTTTGCAGACCCTAAATCTTTATGGGAGTAGAAAGCATCATCTTTCTCTTGTGGAGCAACTAGTAGTTTCGAGCTCCTGACCTTGCAGTTATCAGCCCAACGTGTAACTCACTATACTCCCCAGGGCTCCTGGAGACTGGTAGAACTCTATTCTGCCATCCAAATCATACCGTTTCCCCGAAAATAAGACAGTATCTTATATTTTTGCTCCCAAAGATGCGCTAGGTCTTATTTTCAGGGGATGTCTTATTTTTCCATGAAGAAGAATACGGTACACATTTATTGTTTATTATTTTGTTAAAAGAGACCTCATACTCTCTGTCTGCTCTGGCTGCGTTCCAGCCAACAGTGAAATGTGCGGCCGCGCCCACCTCTATGGTCCAGAGTCCAGAGTTACGGTAGCTTCAGGGGGCCCTATTTTGGGGGAAGTCTTATTTTCGGGGGGATGGGGGGAATGCCTTATATTTCAGCGAGAGGCAAAACTGTAAGTAGGTCTTATTTTGGGGGGATGTCTTACTTTTCAGGAAACAGGGTAGCAACCCTGTAGGGCAGAGTAGAACTTATCCCTTATGTTTTGGAGACTGTAGCTCCTTATGGGAGTAGAGGGGTAATAGAGATAGTGCTTGGCTCCAAGGCACAAGTTCAGGGGTAAGGAACGCCTTATAAGTCTCAGAATGATGTTTCAAAGCACCATAAACATGAAAGGCATTCTGATGACTGACACTGTCAAGGTTATCAATGTCTATTCATCTTGACATGAGGTTGGAGAAGAGTTTGGAGCTTAATTCAGAGATTGTTCTAGAAGCAAGTTACTCTTGCCAAGCACCAGGCCCAAGGTCTATAACTTTTTCTCACTTATGAACAAACCTTAATCAATCAATCAATAAAATATATTTTGACAAGATATTTATTGAAAAATATAAAAAAGAAAATATATGACAAAGCCAAAAAATTACATCACCTGAGACTATCAATTTTATTGCTATATCTGAAAAAGCAGGCAAAATGTATGCAAAAATAGAACTTACAGAAACCATATTAAAGCTAAAAATGAATATGTAACATTCTATAAATGCACACTCAAAAAATTTTCAGTAATGGCAGCAGATAATCTTAGGGGACAGATTTTTCCTTTAACTTAATACCCTCTACTCATGTTTGTACACTCTTCAGAACTTAAGAAAAACTTATCTGAAGGAAATAGCCATTAGTACACCAGTCATAGTTCATGATTCATGACAGCTTTTAGCACGCATAATAAATAAAAAAAATAACTGAAAAAAATCTACTGGAGTCTTTTAAATATCGTGTTTCATTTTCTTTACTCCTAAGCCTGGAAGAGATGAGATGTCTGTTTGTTTTGGAAGCAGAGGGCAAACACTCTATGAAAAGCAGAACTTAAAGTGAGTGACTAATGATCAAGACAGCAAATGTATACTCATGTCAGCTGATAAGCGGCTGAGCTGACCTCTAAGGTTGAAGGATATGAGGGCTTTGTGGCAAAGACTGAGAATAGCATTACTTGTGCAAGTAAATAAATGATAGGCATGAGACACGTCATAGCCTTAGATATCCAATAACAATTCCATTGTTTGATGTTTACTCAGCCGCCAAAGGTGATCTTTGAAAGTCAGAGGAAGTAGATTATCTAAAGCTCTGTTACACACAAGTCCAGAACTAGCATTTACAGTTAAAGTACACGAACATTTTCACAGCGGGCTTCATGATCACACAGGCTGGTGTGCTTCTTCCAGTGGCCTTTGTTGCTTCTCAGCTAGATGGTCGCTTGTTTACCTTCAAGTCTTTAAGACCCCAGATACTTTATCTTTTGATAGTCGGGCACCATCAGCTTTCTTCACATTTGCTATGCACCCACTTTGTCTCCAGCAATCATGTCAGGAAGCTGAGCATCATGGAATGCCAAGTTATTAGAACAAAGGGTTCTTGCATTGAAGGAGTACTTGAGGCCCAATGTCCATCTGCTACCTTGATACTTAACATATAAATATATGTACATAGATCAATTTCCCTATTTTTTATATAAATGTTTACATATGTACACACCCGTATTTAGACCTCTATAAATGTCCTTTGCCTCCTAGTTCTTTCCTCTATTTCCTTTTACTTTCCTCTTGTCCCACTATCATGTTCTGCCTTCATTCAGGTTTCAGTAATTCCTTTCAGTTACATTGACCTTGATCAAGCCCTACCAGGCATCCTATGCCCTCATTGCCATTGATTTTAGATCACTTACCATTCCCTTGTCCCTGGGTTTGTTAACATCCACTTCC